GCTATCTGCCTCAGTTTCCAGCCCCAAGCTCCCAGGTTTCTGCCTCTCTCTCTTTCCTGGCTGTCTCCTCCTTGCCACCATGCTTTTTCCCTTGCACCAGTGACCTTGACTAACCCTGGGGCCACTTGATCTTAAATAATCCCAAGCCTCAATTCCTCAGCCAGCTTCTCTCTAGTCCACCGATTCTAATCCCAGTTCTGGCAACTTTCACTCCCTACACTTTAACTATCTCTCTCACCTTAACCTTCCCCCAAATATCCCAGGTACCCCAAGCTCACACATATATACCATACCATCCAAGTTAGGAACTTACCTGTGTGTATGTGTAGGTGGGTTGTATGTGTGTGAACTGGTGAGTGTGTGTGTATATATATATATATGTCATTGTGTGCATGATACATGAATTAGTGATCTGTGTATGTGTACTGAGTGTGTGGGTATGGAAAATTGATTTTTGTCTAACTTTTGGGGTGTATAGTGTATGTGCTTGAATTGGTGATAAGTATGCATGTGCCGGGGTGTGTGTGTGTGTGCGTGTGCGCACGCAATTGTGTCACACCCTGCTGTCTAACAGTGCAATATTGAGATCCTGAGAGTTGGCCTGACCCCACAGGGCAACACCTCCTTCCAGCACTAGCTCCCAGCCAGCAGGCAACACAGATGTGGGTTGGAGGGAGAGGCAGGGGATGGGCAGGGAGCAGGGGCTTGAAAGAGGATCAGGCACACTTCTGCTGCCCGCAGCCAAGCCCAGCTTCCCCACCCAATTGCTTCACACAGCCCCCAGCTGAAGTAGGGCATGAGCAGCAATGTCCACTGCCCCAAGATCAGATGGGGATAGCAGCAGTGGTGTTGGCAGGGAGTAGGAGGTAAGTCCCTCCCTTTGCATGCCTGCTCCCTACCTAGCTCTCTAGTATCTCCAACCAGCCCAGAGGCTGCATGCGTCCATCTCCCCATGGCCCTAGGGGCAGTGTTCCTCTTGAGGAAATCCTGGATCTACCCATGGCCCACGCACTCCTATCCCTGCTGCCACCCAACACTTCAGGCAAGCACACTGCAGACTTGAGTAAATTTCAGTTGCCTGCAATTGACTGAACTCAAGTTTACGGGAGAAGGCAAAGCTGAAATGTGAAAATT